TACAGCAAGAGGGTTGTTTTCTGTTCTAGCTTCAGAATATCCGCATGGGAACATGGTTAAATTAAGAAGTGTCTGCAAGAGTTGTGTGGGATGACCGGAGTTGGATATGAATGTCATAGGTTTGAGAGTCTTCTCTCTATCATTGACCAGTGATGTTGTGTTATGGTTTTCTGAGCTTCCATATAATTTGATTCATACATGGGATCAATTGAATAAGGTGTTCATGGCAAAGTTTTTCCTGTTGTCCAAGAAGCTGAATCACAAAGACAAACTGAACAACTTCATAGCACTACCTGGAGAGTCTGTAAGTAGTTTATGGGATAGGTTCACTGCATTCATAAGAAGTGTTTCGAATCACCGCATAGATGATGAGTCACTAAAGGAGTACTTCTATAGAGGTCAAGATGATAATGGCAAGGCTATGCTGGATACTATTACTTGAGGATCATATGGTGAGTGAACTTTTGAAGAGATCGCTAAGAAACTAGAGAAGATTTCCTAAAATAATAAGGCATGGGCCACTAGAAAGTCAGACACTGGTAGAAGCACATTTGCAGTTCAAGCCGCACCTAGTCAATCCAATGATGATATTCGTGAAGAGATGGCTCAAATGAGGACAAAATTGGGTTTGGTACTAAAGCATGTGACCGGAGGTGCAGAGAAGGTGAATGTGGTAAACTACCTAACTAGAGATCCACCACCGCCAGTTGAGGAATGCTACTATGAGGAGGATGCTTATTTGGTGAATCATTAGATGCGGGGTTTCCGAGCCAACGCCCAAGGTTCCAACTCAGATAATTTGTGCCAAAGGTCGAGGAAACCAAGGTCAGAATTATGGTAACTAAAATCAAGAAGGTAACTATGTTCGGGATGGGAACTACAATCATGATAACAACTATAACCGGAACAACTATGGTAACAGAAATGAGAGAGTTGGGCCCTATGTTCCACCTGGAACAGAAAATTTGGTAATAGAGAATATGGGGGCATTGAGGATATGATGCAGAAGATGATGAAGAGGTTTGATGCGACTGATGAGAATGTGAAAGAGATGAGAAATGACTTGTTTTGTATTGGTCAAAAAGTTGATGCGCATGCAGTGTCGATCAAGCAACTTGAGTAGTAGATTAATCAGTTGTCCACTACAGTGAACCCACGTCAGCCTGGCACACTTCCTAGCAACACCATCCAAAATCCGAAGAATAACGAGCATTGTATGGCAGTCATTACTTGAGGAGGTAAACAGACCATTGATCCCCCCTATGCCGTCTAAGGTTGAAATTGTGGTAGAAAGAGATGAAGATGAGATTGAGGTTACTAGAGAGTCTAAAAATGCTACAGAGAAGGAAGTAGAGATCACCCAAAAAGTTGTTCACATGCGTAGACCTCCACCGCTATTTCCACAGAGATTGGTGAAGAAGACCGAAGAAGGAAAATACCGCAGGTTCATTACTATGTTGAAACAACTTTCCATCAATTTTCCGTTGATGAAAGCTTTAGAGCAAATGCCTGGGTATGCAAATTTTATGAAGGATTTGGTGACCAAAAAGAGGGTCGTTTGTTTTGAGGATGATGCAAGTTTACAACATCGTAGTGCTATTGCTACGCGGTCATTAGTGCCAAAGAAAGAAGATCACGGAGCTTTCACTATTCCTTGTACAATTGGGTTGTTTCATTTTGCGAAGGCGTTGTGCGATTTGGGTGCTAGCATGAATCTGATTTCATTGTCAATCTATAAGAAGTTGGGCTTAGGGGCTCCAAAACCGACTGCGATTCGACTACTCATGGCTGATAGAACTGTAAAGAAGCCCATTAGTGTTCTCAAAGATGTCCTTGTGAAAGTGTAGTCGTTCATTTTTCCGGCGCAATTTGTGATACTTGATTTTAAGGTTCCCATCATCTTAGGGAGACCATTCCTTGCTACTAGGAGCGCCTTGGTTGATATGGAAAGAGGGCAGATGAAGTTCTAATTGAATAATAAAGAGGTAACTTTCAATATCTGAAGGTATATAAAGCAGGAAAGCGATCTCAAGTTAGTATCAGTGGTGAATCATATTGTGCAACGAGGTTTTGAAGTGTCTATTGAAGAGAGGTTAGGTGTCAGTGCACTGGTATCAGTTATGATAATTTTGAGGGTAATGGTATTGAATACTATGATGAATTAGTTGCCACACTTGATATGTTTGAATTCCGTTCTAAACCAAAGAAATTGGAGCTAGATATGAAGAATCAGGACTCTCCACTTGCAAAATCGTATGTGGAAGAAGCTCCAAAATTGGAGCTCAAGGCTCTACCATCGCATTTAAGGTATGTATTCTTGGAAAGATATGGTACTTTACCAGTAATCATTGTGGCCGATTTGAGTGAGGTACAAGTTGAGGCATTGGTTTCTGTGTTGAAAAGGATCAAGCGGGCTATTGGATGGACCATTGCAGACATTATTGGGATTCCTCCTGGCATTTGTTCTCATAAAATCCAACTCATGCCAGATAGCAAGCCTAGTATCGAGCACCAAAGGAGACTAAATCCACCTATGCAAGAGGTAGTAAAAAATGAAATCATCAAATAGTTGGATGCTGGAGTCATATACCCCATCGCAGATAGTAGTTGGGTTTGTCCTGTTCAGTGTGTACTTAAGAAAGGTGGATTACTTTGGTTCCTAATGCGAAAAATGAACTTGTTCTGATAAGGCCAGTGACTGGATGGAGAGTATGCATGGACAACCACAAACTAAATGCTTGGACAAAACAGGATCACTTCCCTATGTCGTTCATGGATCAGATGCTGGATCGCTTGTTGGTAAGGGTTGGTATTGTTTTCTTGATGGGTATTCGGACTACAATCAGATCTCCATTACTCCGGAAGACCAAGAGAAATCCACCTTCACTTGTATGTATAGGACTTTCGCCTTCAAAAGGATGCCATTTGGGTTGTGTAATGCTCCAGCGACCTTCCAGCGTTGCATGATATCGATATTTTCAGATATAGTGGAGGACACTATTGAGGTATTTATAGATGATTTTTCTGTGGTGGGTGATTCGTTTGATGGTTGCTTGATGCATCTGGCCGAGGTACTAAAACGGTATGAAGAGTGCAATCTTGTGCTCAATTCGGAAAAGTGCCACTTTATGATAAAAGAGGGGATAGTTCTGGGTCATCGGATTTCTGAGAAGCGTATCGAGGCTGATAGAGATAAAGTTGAGGTAATAGAAAAGCTTCCACCACCTATCTCTGTTAAAGGTGTTAGAACTTTTCTTGGGCATGCAGGTTTTTATCGGAGGTTTATCAAAGATTTCTCTAAAATTGCACACCCATTGTGCAAACTGCTCGAGAAGGAGTGTAAGTTTTATTTTGATGATGCTTGTCTGAGAGCATTTGGTGAGTTGAAAGCAAGGTTAGTATCAGCATTTTATTATTTCACCGGATTGGGGGCAACCGTTTGAAGTGATGTGTGATGCAAGTGGGGTGGCATTTAGTGTGGTATTGGGACAGAGGTGAGAGAAGATTATTCATCCCATTTACTATCCAGCAAAGTTCTAAATGTGGCTCAAAAGAACTTTACGGTGACTGAACAGGAACTCCTTGTTGTGGTTTTCACATTCGAGAAATTTTGATCCTACTTGCTTGGTACTATGGTCATAGTGCATACTGATCATTCTGCATTGAGGTATCTGATGGCTAAAAAGGATGCAAAACCGAGGTTGATCAGATGGGTATTGTTGCCGCAAGAGTTTCATTTTGAGGTGAGAGATAGAAAGGGGACAGAAAATCAAGTTACCGATCATTTGTCCAGATTAGAGGATGAAGCAATACTCAAGTTAGGAGATGGGGCTGAAATTAATGATGCATTCCTAGACGAATAGGTATTGGCTGTTTCCTTTGATTTTATCCCTTGGTTCGCAGATTTTGCTAACTACTTGGCAAGCGATTTTGCCCCATCGGATTTATCATTTCACCAAAGGAAAAAGTTTATGCATGATGTGAAGAAGTTTTTTTGGGATGAGCCTTTCTTGTTTCGTATTTGTGCTGATGGGATTATTTGTAGTTGTGTGCCCGAGATTCAGATGATGAGTATACTAGAGGAGTGTCATTCATCGCATGTTGGTGGGCATCATAGTGGTATTAGGACTGCTTATAAACTCTTGCAGTGTGGGTATTACTGGCCTACCATCGACCAAGATGCTCATGATTTTGCCAAGTCTTGTGATTGTTGCCAAAGAAAAGGAAGAATTTCAAAGAGGCAAGAGCGACCTATGAATCCGATATTGGTGATTAAGTTGTTTGATGTTTGGGGCCTTGACTTTATGGATCTATTTGTGAGTTCACATGGGATGAAGTATATTCTTGTTGCGGTTGATTATAGGACTGCTTATAAACTCTTGCAGTGTGGGTATTACTGGCCTACCATCGACCAAGATGCTCATGATTTGCCAAGTCTTGTGATGTGACAAGAAAGGAAGAATTCAAAGAGGCAAGAGCGACCTATGAATCCGATATTGGTGATTAAGTTGTTTGATGTTTGGGGCCTTGACTTTATGGATCTATTTGTGAGTTCACATGGGATGAAGTATATTCTTGTTGCAGTTGACTATGTATCGAAATGGGTGGAAGCAATTGCGATTTTAAACAATGAGGGTAAGAGTGTCACCGCATTCCTAAAAAAGAGTATCTTCTCCAGATTTGGTACACCTAAGGCGATTCTCAGCGATGTAGGTTCCCACTTTTGTAATAAATTGTTCAAGGCGTTGTTAGAGAAATATGGAGTTCCTCACAATATAGCTACTCCTTACCATCCGTAGTCTAGTGGGCAAGTTAAAGTGTCAAAGATAAAGCAAATCTTTGCAAAGACTGTGAACGCCAATAGAACGGACTAGTCAAGAAGGCTTGATGATGCTCTATGGGCCTATCGCACCACATTCAAGACTCCCATATGTATGTCCCCCTACCAACTTGTATATGGGAAGTCATGCCATTTGGCGGTAGAGCTAGAGCACAAGGCCATGTGGGCGCTAAAGAAGTTGAATTTGGATTGGGGCGCCGCATCGAGTCAAAGAGTGAATTACATTAATGAGCTTGATGAGTTTCGCCTAAAAGCATATAAAAGTTCAACCTTGTACAAGGACAAGATTAAGAAGTATCACGATCAAAAGATTAAAAAGCGTGAGTTTGTTGTGGGTCATTTGGTGCTTTTATTCAACTCAAAGTTGCGCTTGTTTCCTGGCAAGCTCAAGTCCAGGTGGATTGGGCCATTCAGAGTCACTCAAGTATTTCCAGATAGAGTGGTCGAGCTCGAGAACAAGGAGGGAGGATGGTTCAAAGTGAACGGGCAAAGAATCAAGGTCTACATGGGGAAGTCAGAGAGTGTACAAGAAGTGATAGAGGCCTACTATCTTGATGAAATCTAAGTATTCAAGGTGTTTGTGTCATGCCGCGACATTAAATCTAGCGCTGCTTGGGAGGCAACCCAAGATGTACAATCTAGACAACTATAGGTTTTTCTTTTCGATATAGGAATTTTCTTCTTTTATTTTAATTTTTGTAGCTCTTTAGATAGGTGTTTTATTTTTGTATTAGTGTTGGCTAAATATAGAATAGGGTCCGTGTCTAAAAAGTTTCCAAAAAATGTTAAAACAAAGTCCTAAAGGCTGCTACGTGTGCAGGGACGAAAGGCAAAATCTGTTGAAAAATAGTTGTGCAGTGGTCTACGGACCCCATCTACGATCTGTTGGTCCATCCACGGACCGTGAATGGCATCTGTAGATCCCAGGTAAGTGTTCTAAATTTTTCTAAGTGTGAAAGTGACTTACGGACCAGACCATCGATGGGGTCTCGTGGGTCCAACCTAAGGTTTCTACCGACCCGACCTGGACTCCTTTTAAATAAAACCTCTTCATTTTAAAACACCCCCCCCCCCACATCTAAAACTCCCTCCCAATCATTTTTCAATTCTACAATTCACATTAACCCCAATAACCCCCATATCAATACCCACTTCATTTCCCAAAATCCCATATTCCTCTTATTCTCTCCCAAATCACCCCATCTTCTCCCCAAAGTGATCTCACAGTTCGGGTCTGGTGTCCACGCTGGTTTAGGAGTCTTTGCAGTCGATCACACACTCACCATTGTTGTTTACTAGTAAGGTAAGTTGATTTCTCCCGAACTTTGTATTTTTTCATAGTTTCCATTTGAAATCACAACAATGAACTTGACATTGGGTAGTTAATTTCATGTTTGAATGGGAAATTATGAGATAGAAAGACCCTTGGTATGATGGTATGTGAGTGTGTAGTTAATTAAAATCGAATAATTCAAGTTAAAAGGTCTAATTGGATGTTTTGACTTAGGGTTTGTAGTTTGATTCTTGTCAAAAGTTGAATGTTATGTATTTAGAACCCTAAGGATGATAGACTACCATATATTCTGTTGAAATGCATAATTAGATAGTATTTGAATGTAGAATTGTTCATGTTATGGGCTGAAATTGAATCAAGTTCTGAAACCTGGCACAGTACTGACCCACGACTGCCCGTCCATGGACCGTAGGTCACCCTATGGACCGTAGGTCGAGTCCATAGGTCATTTGCACACAAAGTTTTCACAAAGTGTCAAACCTCAGTGTGGACTACAATCCGTCATTCCATCAACGGACCGTTCTGCCATCCGTGTTTCCCACATCAGAGACCTAATTTTGGGTACTCTTACCTACCTAAGAACCATCGTTCCATCGACAGACCGTAGGCGCCCACCGTGGGTCAACAGTTCAACTACTGTCCAGATTTTTTTAGTTTTTCTCTGGTTCGTTTCTTGTTCTAAAATTCTTCCTTGTGTTATATTAACTTGTTTTGGTACTAACTAATCTTCCACAGGTACCATGGCTCCTTAGCAAGCTCCCACATACGCTGCCAAGGGTAAATCAAAATGCGTTGCTCTATCTATGTGGTTGATCGATGCGGAATTGGATGGGGAGTACGTTCCACCTCCCACCAGGACCTCCCACACTGCTCCCCGCACTACACGGAACAGAGTTCGCCAGGTGAGCTCCGACGTAGTCAGTGCCCCCCAGTCTGAGAAGGGAGCCACACCGATCAGATCAAAGGCTGGCTCAAAGTCCCCATCCGGCTCCAGCTCCAGCGGCAGCACCACCTCTTCATCCGAGTCTGATAGTACAGGAGATACCCTAGTAGCCCCCTACCCCCATTTTGAGACTCCAGCGGTTGCTATGGAGCCAAACATGTGGTGTGTGGAGGGCCAATCCCATATATACATTGATGCTCGCATACTGAATGAGCACGACAAAATGGCCCGACTAGTCACTGAGGAGCGTCAGGTTCTCACAGGGAGCCTCCACATCACTCCAGTCATTGGGGAGCTCTTTCGGAGGCACAGGTGTAAGTGGATGGCATAGACTCCAAGCGAGGAGATAGTACGGAGTTATACGCCTCATATGCTGCCACCATCAGAGGTTCCATCTCCAAGCGGGCCAAGCCCACCTCTCAGCCTCCACTTGAGTCCACCTTGGTGTAGGGCTTTCAATTTTATATATGAGAGGTCACTCTCCGCAGGTTTATCAATGGCTCGGAACACACTCTGCCCATCATTAAGAGCGGGGAATTTTAAAGGAATGCCGAGCAGAGAGAGTCCTGGTGTGATGGCTAGCACAACATATTGCTACGGATGGAGAGTGTGCTGAGGTGGTCCAGAATCTGAGCTTGGGTATCAAGAAGGTGACACTAAGTTTCGCTGCAAAATTCTTCTGGTTGCTGGTACGGACCCGTGTGTCCCCTACTCAGGCGGACAATGTGATCACGTGGGACCGAGCAGTGATGGTTGCAGCTACGGTAGTAAGGCTTGAGATAGACTTTTCCCTCATATTGAGAGGAGAGATCCATGAGAGGGCCTTCAAGGACACCACCACATTGCCCTTCCCGTGCCTCATTTTCCAGCTATGCAGGGATTCGTCTGTTCCGGTGTGGAATTATGATAGGTTGCTTCATGCAACCAAGACTCTCGACATTGCCCTTAGGTGCCACCTCTAGGTGACGATCTAGCCACCGATGTTAAGTAGATGCATGCCGATGAATCCACCATTCCGACCACTACAGCAGACACTTAGGCTCCACCGTCTCCGGCCACCAGTAAGGCCCCTTGCTCATCCTGAGCCACCCCCTCTTCAGGGTCTTCCGTCATCCCTCTAGCCCGAGTCCAGAAGTTGGAGGCATAGATGGTCACTTTGCTTTAGCATGTAAAGCCATGGATGCAGCGGTCTATAGCGGAGTCTGTGGCGAGGGTTGAGCAGAAGATGGAGTAAATGATGGACCAGAAGTTTCAGGCCGTTCATAAGTGCCTGAATGCCTTTGAGTTATGATTCCTGGAGAGGCTGGCCCCAACTATTGATGTGACCACCTTTAAGAAGGAGTTAGATAGCCTCTGTGCTGATCTTGTTGCAGTTCTAGCTCCCCAGAGACTGAGCCAGAGTCTGCCCCTACGGCACTAGATGATGAGGTAGTGATGACTGGCCTATTCGGCAATGTTATGCCACCACCACATTCTTCTCGTGCCACGGGGAAGCGCCCCCGCTTCGCTCGTACCTTCGATGATGCTGAGGCTGAGAGATTGCAAAAGAAGCTCCAGCAGACTCAAGAGGCTCAGAGGGCATCCATATTTGATGAGGAGTAGAGACAACAGCAGGCCAGAGAGATAGGTGTCGGCCCATCTGGCAGTGTGAGCACTACTAAGGGCGTTGGGATAGTTGATGCGAACGCTACTGATGGCGTACCAAGTGTTGATCCAACGGGCTCAGGGAAACCGAACCGACCCACTTCTTGATAGGTCTTCGACGCATATGCACCACAGGTTAGCTTCACCCTATGTTTTACTATTGATTTTTGTGCATTGGGGATAATTGCACCTTATTTTGTTGGGGGTGGGGTAAATGGATTATGAGTGATACGGTGAAGCCTGAGTAACCTAACTCATAATCCTCTCTTGGGGTTTTATTGCCTGTGTTCTTTTCTCCCAAGAGACTATTTTAATTTCTGTTGAACCGGCATGTTAAGGAATGTATGTGTAGAAGTAAGTAGAAAAATGAAAGCATGATGGTATAAAAAGCATAAAAAATGACCCCTGTCCAAAAAAAATGTGAAATGTGTTAGATCTTTAAGCTTGATAAGTTGAATGTGCTGGATCTCAATATGACATGATAAGGAACCGATTTGACCTCATTACTTAAGTTTAAATGTAAACTAGTTAATCGAGTAATCTGATAATGAAACAATGTGCCAAGTGTGTGTGAGAAAAGTTTGAATGTTCATACAGATTTTGCCAATCTAGAACTTTCCCTGTTGGTCCTGCTAAGAGAATCTAGGCTAGAAGTTGGGAAATGATCATAGGCCCTTGTTCAAATAAGTCCACTCAAGCATAAAATGATCCAACCAAATGAAATAAATGTTTCCTTTGATCCAAATGTTTGAACCTAATATAGACCACTTTTTTCAATTTACCTAACTCACCTTCCCTAAAATAATTGCTTTGGCCCTAGTCCCTCCTTGGACATGTGCACCTTGACTTATGCCAAAAGCCTAAGTTGAGGGTGGCTAATTGAGAAAGTTACCTTGATCTTGGCCGTGGTCCGACATCGGATATTGTGCACCTCAACTCATGCAAAATACATAAGTTGAGGATGGCTATGAAAAAGGAAACCGAAAGAAAAAGGGTATGAAAAGAGTTTTGTGTTGAAGAGAGAAATAGAAAATAAAAAGATGTGACTTTGTGCAAAAGATGCAAAAGATGAATAACAAAAGTGCTGAAAGAAATAAAGAAAATAAAGAGAAAGAAAAAGAAGGAAGTGAACAATATGAGCTATAAAGTCAAAAGTCACATCTGTGTTAAAAGAATCAAGGCAAAGAAAAGAAAATAAAAAGATGTCAAGAATTGGTTGAGAAAAGAGGTAAAAAAAAACCAATATAATGCCAAGAAGGGCAGAAATTCACTAAAAAGTACCAAAATATATCCTACATGAACCTGAGCCTACGTTACAAGCTAAGAAAGTCCTGTAGTGATCCTAGCAACTAGTTTGGAGAGTCTAAGCAATGAAAATAAGGGCAAGCTTATAGTATTGAGCACGAATTGTACTTGAAGTCACTTCTGAGCGTGAGTATTAAATGAATCCTAAAAAAACTTGAAAGGCACATTTATTGTGTATGAAAAAGTATTTATTTTGAAGTAAGGGCACTAGTTACATTGTTGCAGAATTGATACATTGGTGATTGTGAAAGGTGTATGTTGTGATGTCTGTTGGTCGATCTATGTCATGTTTGATCCGTATGAGTAAGCTTGTTGAGTCTAAATGAAGAGAATTCCACTAAGGAAATAGGATGGATTAAAAAGTCCATGTGATTGCTTG